GTTCGCTATACATATTTCCCTGCCTTTAGTTGTTAGTTAATCGTATTTATTTGAAGGTAAATCACGGTCAACACTAGTTTGTAAGACAGTGTAAGGTTGAAATGGTTTTCAAAATGAGTTTTGCAAACTTATAAAATATTGAAGAGTTTTTTTTCATTTATTATTATTTTTTTAAAAAAATAATTAAAGAAAACTATACCTACTTTATCTCTTGCCTTAATAATACACTTACTTTTTTTTTTCTGGTTTGTGAAAATAATGTGAGATCGATATAAGCTTTGAAATAGACTTCACAAATTCAGAAAATGTTTGGTGAGTTTTTTTTTATTTTTTTTTTATTTTTTTTTAAAATAATTAAAAAAAATCTATACTTACCTTATTCCTTGTTTTATTAATATACTTACCTTTTTTCATCTCGATTTTGCTAGTTTGTGAGACACCTTTGAAGACTGAAATTGGCTTTGCAGACTCAAGGAATGTTTGGTAAGCTTTTCTATATTATTTTTTATTTTCTGGTTCATGGGACAGTGTAAGGTTGAAATAGGTTTTGTGAATTTGAAAGATGTTTGGTGAGTTTTTTCTAGTTTTTTTTTATTTTTTTTAAAATAATTAAAAAAAATCTATACTTATCTTATTCCTTGTTTTAATAATATACTTATCTTTCTTCATCTCGACTTCACTGATTTGTGGAATACCTTTGAAGACCAGAATTGGCTTCATGGGCTTAAGGGATATTTAGTAAGCTTTTCTATATTATTTTTTATTTTTTTTTTATATAATTAAAAAAACCTATACTTATCTTATCCCTTGCTTTAATAATACACTTACCTTTCTTCTTTTCTAATTCGTAGGAACACTGTAAAATTCGAAAAAGGTGTGAGAAAATGTTTAGTAAGTTTTTCTATCTTTTTATTTTTTTGTTAAATAATTAAAAAAACTTATACTTACCTTATCCCTTGCCTTAATATACACTTATCTTTCTTCTTTTCTAGTTTATAGAACACTATGGGATTGAATGAACTTTGAAATGAACTTCATGAGCTCAGAAGAATGTCAGGTGAGTTTTTCTATTTTCTATTTTATTTTTTTTAAAATAATTAAAAAATCTATTCTTACTTTATCCTTGCTTTAATAATATACTTACCTTTCTCCTTCTCTCCTTGGGAATTGGGTAAAATTTAGTTCATAGAACTGAGAGAATGTATTTTATTTATTTAATTTTATAATATAGTTTTAGCTTTATTTCTAGTCTTTAAATTCTAAAGTATTAAATAAATATATATAATAAAGTAAAATAAAATAGGTACGTTTATATATATACTAATAAAATAAACTTGTTTTTTTTATAATTAAATTATTCATAAATAATCTGAAATATCAATTTAATAATAATATTTATTAAATTATCTAAAATAATATTTTAAATGATTTAATATATTAAATTATCCAATTTTAAGTGATTTAAATAATTTTTATAATTTTTAGGTGATTTAATATTATTTTAAATCATAAACAATTTGATATAATTTATATTAGATTAGATCCTCTAAATTTTTCTTGTTGCTAGTTGTTATTGCCATTTTTATTTCTTCTTACGATTATTTTTATTATAATAGAACTTAAAAATCTAGATAAAATTTCAAATATTAAAGATCATTCTGAAGAATATTTTGAAGAATATTTTGAAAACCATGACACTGATAATGAAGTTCTTTCTGTTCAAAACACAGCCACATCTCCTTCAAAAAAAAGAACTTTCAAAATTTATCAATATTTTACTTATGGAACTGATGAAAGGTAATACTGCAAACATTGTACGTTGTTAACCTTATTTCTTAATTTTTATATATATATTTTTATTAGCATTATTATATTAGTTTATTAGTTAGATTTCT